TGGAAAACATGTCCATCACAGGCTCAGCTCTGCGTGTTGGTGAGCCAGGCGGGCACCCCGGGGCGAGCAGAGACTCTTCCTCCCAGCACTGTGGGAAAGCTGAAAAATGAGCTGGGTGCTGGGGGGTGTAAATAACACTATGAAGTCAACCTCAGTGGTAAATAAATGCCAAAGAACGAAGACAGGCATGTTGTATTCTGAGGATGTACTTGATATCTGCCAGCGTGCAACCGTCCCGAGTGTGAATACGAACAGCCTTCTTCACTTGCAGCAGCAGCTTATTAGTAGTGATATATCATTGTCCTGTGCTGGTTTTTCTCCTCTCAACAACAGCTGCTTATCAAGCAGATATTGCACTGTATTTCTGGGGAAATAGTCTAAAATTTATGTTCCTAGGTCTTTGCTGATCTTAGAAGGATCGGCTGTAAGTGGTCATCTATTGTGCTGGGTGTAGGAATGAGGCAGAAAAGGTTTAGGTTCAGTCTTATTTATAAGGCTATGTTCAGTCTTATTTATAAGAGTGAAAAACATAAATTCTGGAAGGGTTTTAAATCTTTGTGCCCAGGGAGTGAGATGCTGGTCATCCCTGGTGGTACCTTCTTTTCTCTAGCCAGGCATTTAGCCCAATGATTTAAACCCCTTTGGCATCTCCAAGCCCTCTAATAGTAAATGTAAAGAAAAATAGATTAATACTTAAAAGGCTGAAAAAGTGCCGGTGTATGCTTTTGTCTTTCATCCAGTAATATTGGATCTAAACTGTCAGGCAACTGTATGTTCTTAAATCTAAGATGAAAGACTGAGTCTCCTTTAAAGCAGTATGTTTTTTTGGTATTTAAACTCTTAAGTACAGTGGAAACAAAAAGTTGGGTTCTCAGCTGACATGAGAAGACTCAGCTTCAGAGTTTTCAAAGAGGCAATGCACGTTTGCACCTGAAAAAAGTTTTTGTCCTGGCTACATCCTGTGTGAAAAAGGAAGGAGGAGGCAAGGCTGAGCCAGAAGTTGCTCCTGGTCTTGTCAGTTGGATCCCCTCTACCATCTCTGCAACAAGCCGTGGTAGAATATACTTGCAAAGAATGTCCTAAAGTGACACATGTTGCTTTCACGGCAAAGACTGAGCAGAGTTGTTGTGCTGTCAGGGCCTGATGATTAAATTACTTTTTCCATCCCGTCTTCCTCGCGTTCAGCTTATTAACTTGACATTTCATCTCAATTATTTGCTCTTCTTCACGCCCTCCTGGTGTTGCTTGTCATTCACTCTTTCTTCGGGCAAGTCTGGCTGGCCAAAGGAATGCGTGCACTGGGGCAGGCCTGTTTGTTGCGGCTGTTACAGGTGTAGGTAACCCTTTAGGTACCTCCACACATGCTGATCTGACCCTTGCCATGCAAAAAGGTTTTTCCTCTTATCTTTTTTTCAATGGGGCAGAAAACTTTCCAGAGGTTTTTCCTTGTGACTTCACCTGCGGTTGAGCATTTGCAAGGCTTCGCCAAGGGTTGCAACCCTCTGTGCAAACTCCTGCTGATGTGTAAGCATGAGCTACTAATTGAAATTCTCTCATATTCTTCCAAGAAGGGTAAGGAGCCCTGTCCCCTGTGTCCAAGCATGCTGGGGGTGGTGGTGTCGCAGGGCACGGCTGCAGAGCTTTGCTTTCTCATCCTCTGCTTCCATCTGGGTGTTCTGCTCAGTAACATATCAAAACTACTCGGTCATAGTAAAAACTCAACTGTCTGCTGGAAGTAATGAAGAAAAATCAGAGTCGGGTATCAGCATGCTTCCCACTGCCATCAGGGATGAGGAAATGGCATGAGCAGTGTTTTAAATAACCAAATGTGTCAGAGGAGCACTCGTAAATGATGAAAAGCAAAACAGGGGCTCTGCTAAACTTTATGGTTGCCATCCTTCATTTTAATTTTAGTGAAGGTGTTTGTTTGGAGGTGAGTAATGAACACTCCTGAAGCCTGGGAACAGCAGTGAACAGCGGAGAATGAAGTACTCTGCCTCTTAATGCATGAGTCTGCTCTTTTTTTTTTTTTTTTTTTTTTTTTTTTATCTCTGCTGAGCAGGTAAAAAAGGGTGCAGACCTTGTTGTTACTCTTCCCAGCATGGAGTTATGCAGACTATCATGTCTGGACATGTAACGGGAGGTGAAAGAGCAGCTGATAGGGAGTGTGTGGTGGCCTTGAGGCTGAGTAAATATCCAGGGAGACGCTGAGCATAACTGCATCTCTGCAGTCCTTCACAGAAGCACAATGAGCCTTCCCACCATGCGGGGCTTAACGCTAATAACCAGTTAAAAGCAGTAGGGAAGAGTGGTATACTGTGTTCCAGCTGGTAGCGGCAACAAGACCCATCACTGGAGGGTGCATGAATGAGGTGCTAACCCCGCTCATGGGGTTAGCAGGACCCCGTTAGAAGGGCATCTTTGTCCATGGCATGACTGTGGTTTTTTTGTTTCCCTTTATTTTTTGTGTTTTTTTTTTTTTTTTTTTTTTTTTTTTTTGTTTAAAAAAAAATGATTTTTTTCCCTCCTACTGAAGATGAATATGGTCTGAAGATCCAAAACAACTTTGCAAAGCTGGTAAGAACCCTTCCCAGCACATGCATCAAACATTTGCTCATCTCTCCATGCCAGGGTAATGAAACTTGTGATACTTAGTTTGAAACACCACGTAAACCCTCACTTTAATCCTAGTTTAAATACAATTTTTAAAGTGCTTGTAAAAATCTGTGAGATGTCGTAAGCCACTCCTTGTTTGCAAGAAAGCGTGTTGAAGTCTTTTGTGTGCATTTGAAAGCATAATCTCCTGCTGAAGCTCTTTTCATGGTAGCATGATTATCCAGAAATATTATCATGGGATTACACATGCAGACATCACGATCGTCCTGTGCAGTGGGTTTGTGCGAGTCTGTGCTCTTGTGCCAAATGATTTCCCCGTTTTTGTTGGTTTAATATGGGTTGCCGACCTTTGCAAATCTTATCTGGCAAGTCTTATCTATCCAAATCTTATCTGCCACAAATTTTGCATGGCACACAGCAATACTTGAGGAATGGAGGAAATCTTTTGAGCATTTGGCAATAAGGGAGAAATTTGGATAGGTTGGAAAGAAAAAAAAAATATTCCCAAATGTTTAGTGCCCCTAAACGATGCTTGGTTTTAGTTCATGGAGAGCATGGCACCTGTAACCTCTGAGACTTGCTGCTGTGATGCAAAATAAGTTAAATAAGAATAAAGGAAACCATAGCTTTATAAGCATTGTATGTGAGATGGTCTGAGTTTGTTCAATGGCGTTATGGGTGCTTCGATTTTCCTTTTACGCTTCTGGTCAGTCAAATGGATTTTCTGAAGGACTTGGCTAAATGCAGAGTGTGCTCCCTGCTTGCTCCTGAGCCTGGTCTTCCCAAGGCAGAGCATCTGTGGACCTGTGGGACAGGCCAGCCAATGCCAGGGTGGAAACATTTGTGTTACTCTCAGAAAGGTTGTCTTCTTCTCTGTCCCCTATTGGTGTCTCAAGAGGATCAGGAATTTGTAGGTCTTTGTGGACTATCTCAGGTTTTCATGTCTGTGCGGATCAGTTTCCCTTGCTTCTGATGGTGGCTTTGCTGGTAGCTGATGCTTTGGCCAGGTCAGGGCATGGGAGCTTGAGCTCAGTGACCTTCTTATGACCTTTCTTAGGAAATGGAGGTTTCTGAGCACCCATATCCCTTTCAGCTGGGCTGCCTCTCCTATCCCATGGCCCATCCCTAACCCCACGATCATCCTTTTCCTTAACACTGCTCTTTTTTGAACATCCGAAGTCCTTGGAGGCATCCTGTGCTTCTGACTTGACAGTTCAGTTCTGTCAACGCAGGGCTTCATCCATAAATTGACAATTAGCTGTTTCAAATTCAACAGTTCAAAAATGTAAGCATGCTAATTAAATCATCTGTCGTGATTACTCTTCTGTTTTGCAGTTTTCTTGATCAGAAAATATAAGGCATAATATCTAGGGTAACTCTTGCTATGAACTGTTCACATGATTTATAGCTTGAGATCTCAGTTGTTCCTCAAAAGTAAAATGTAACTGCTTAGTTCAGAGAAAATGTGTTAAAAATAAATATTTACTGTCAACATTCTCCATTTCCTTACTACCTGAAACTCATAAGAGGTTATGCTTTCATTATAGATATGAGCATTTCAAGGGATTTATGTAGTTTCTCTCTGCACGGCAGCCTTGGCTGAGGCTGCCTCCTTTTACACCCCCTGTTTAATCGCCATGGATTAAGGGTGGCTCAGGAGAAGATAAGTGTTGATAACCCCATTCCCTGTGGTACGAGCAGCCACAGGATGCGTCCGGGCGCTTGAGGTCATTCCCCACCACCCAGCCCTGGGAACCAATCCTATTTGTGTAACTACATCTGACTTCTTCAGTCACCTCTGTGCCTTAACATTTCTTTCTCCTCGGTCCCCATTGGCATCTGGAAAGTGCTGCATGGTACTGGAAGTAGACTGAAGAGCATCAATGGGCTGGAGACACTGTTGTCACGGTGTGGTCCCAGCTCTCTGCTCCCTGATAGCCAAGGCTAAACCTTGAACTATGAGACTGTGCTCCTGGAAAGGAATTTTGAAATTCCTGTCCTGGAATATATATGGACACTGATTTAAGTGAAGGCTGGAGTTTTGAATTGTCATCAGCACTATTTTGACCTATCAACAAGATTACTTTAGGCAATCTATGTAGGATGTCAGATAAAATATGGCATGTCTTGCCCGCGTTATGATGCCATAATAAGAGATGCTTAGAGCTTTAAACACCCCAAGGTTCTCTTGGATTTGAGCTGCTTCCAGGCAGTCTGCACCTGACAAGTACTAATCTCTTTAAAGGCAGTGGTTGCGAGATTGAGCACTACGTGAAAGTCCTGCTATGGGACATAGTAGGTTGGACTGGCAGGTCCTGGGCTAAAGAATTTCCTCTTTCGTGTTGCACTTGATGGCCTTAATACATCTCCCTTTTCTCTTGCAGGGGAAGGTGGCACAGACGGCTTGCATGTCAGCGTGCAAACACCTCTCCACCTCGCTGATGCAGCTGCTGCTGGAAGCTGAAGTGCGGCAGCTGACGCTGGGCGCCTTGCAGCAGTTCAACCTGGATGTGGAGGAGTGTGAACGTAAGATGCAAAATCATCTCGTTTTCCATGTCTTGCTTTGCCCGTTTGCATGTCAGGACCCACGCCAGGGCTTTTAGTGATGCCAAGTATTTGGGACTGGTGAACGCCTGGAGAGCTCTCTGGGGCTGTCCATGATGACATTTGGCAATATCTTCAGGACAGAAGAAGCCCAGCTAATTCTAAAATATCAAAGCTTTACTATTCTTCTTTTCTCTTTAATTCTGCCTTGATGCTTTCCAGACCATCCCTGCTTTTTGAGATGGAGTATTTTAAAAATAGGAGGGATTAGAGCGGGTAAAACATGAGGAGGGCTAACAAAAAAATCAGTTTACTTATGACTGTTTCTGAAAACAATAACTGGCTTATGTTCTTAAGAAGTTCTGGTCCTCTCCTGACCTCAGCTGTTTGTCTTCTCTATCTGCTGCAGGGAGTTTTTTCTCAAATTGAACCCTTTTTGCAAACTTACTATTATGGAAAAGAGATGTCTTGTGACAAAATAACTACATCTATTCAGAGCTGTGTGTGGAGAGTCACGGTGCCAGCACCACGGCTTTGCTTTCAACCCTGCTCATTTTGGTTCATCTAACTTACACCTGAATTAGCTCCAAAATCCTAAGGTTTCCCTCAAGTTGCTTGTTATCCTGCTCAACAGAAGGGATAGAAAAATATAGCACAAATTGACAAAATACTTTTTTTTTTCTTTCTATTTTTATAGTTTAAGCTAAAACAGGGTGAGCACACTTCTATACAGGAGCCTCTCTTCTTTATGATGGGGATAGATGTGTTATTGGGATTAATGTTGGGGTGGATTAGCAACCGTAGCAGAGCTTAATAAGAGAGTTCAGGCAATCTTTTCATTCCAGAAAGGATAAAGTATTTTGGGGAAGTTTTTTTCCCAAATACCCACTTATTTTGGATTTCTTGGTTGATGAGAAGATTGGGATGTGTCTTGTTTAGAAAACGATAAACCTGCAGAATCTTCTGAAATGCAATTTGATGTGATGTGGCTGCCACTAAAGCCACAGCAAAATAGTCCCTGGCCTCAGTGTGAGTGGTGTCGGAGCCTAAATAGCTGTGAGTTTCCTTTTCCTATCTCAGATAACTCAATAAAATCAGTTGTGTTGGTTTCATCATTTCTGGCACTTACGCTATCAAAAGACATTCTTCTACCCTTTACGAAACATTCTGCTGATTGTTTTAATTCAACTGCACCCACCGATATTTTTTAACTTTTTAATGTACTTTTGCTAATTCCCAGCGCTCTCAGCTGAGTAGCCTGGGAGAAGGATCCCTGCTTAATGAATCATGTCTAACATTTGCAGCTACATCGTATGTCGTAATGCAAGCAATACCTTATTTTTCTCTCAGAAGTGCCTTCAGCCCTAAAGTCTGGCTAATTTGTGTCCCACCAGTGTGTCAAGGCTGTACCGGTAGCAGCTGTGTTCCCAGTCAGCGTCCACAGAGGGACAGACGATGTCGCTGAGAATAATAGGAAGGATTTGTCATTAATAATAGTTTCCTTCATTTTCTTTTGGCTGCAAACAGACTTGTAACACTGCAGTTTTTCATCCCATTGGTAACATGGGTCACTAAGCTGCATCTCTTCCCTAAAAGCCCTCAATGCTAAACAAAACAAATGACATTTAATATTGGGTTTAAAAGCACAATTCCTTAAATTCCAATTGTTTTGTGAGATACAACCAGGAGCACTCAGACATTCAAGAGCAGGTGACGCCAACCTGAGCAGCAGGGCAGGTGACCCACTCCGCCCAGCCCAAGGTGCCATCACGGGCAGGGAAATGGAGATGGATGCCAGTGCTGTAACCTTCCTATCCATCACTGTCAACCCCAAGAAGGGTAAACCCAGACAAAGTCTTTTTCTTCCTATTCGGCAGCAAAAATTTGTTCCCTTGTCCCTGTGGGATTGTCTGGTGGCTTTGCTGACACCAGGGATAATTTTAGTTCTGTTTTTGAGAAGCAGTGCATGCCTGAAGATTTTAAAGTCAGGCAAAAACAATCCCGAGAGTGAACTTGTTTCAATTTGCAAGGGTTTTGTTTGGTTGGGTTTTTTTTATCTTTTACCTGAAAGTGCAGGTGCAAATCTCAGCATCCTCATTATACCAATTGCATATTTGACTTTATGCTTCTGCCTCCAGACCTCCAAGTGTTACCTAGTTTAGCAGGTTTATCATGTCCTTATCAAATTAAAATAGGACTTTATAGCTGTTCGGAGCACTTCCAGTGAGTTCTGTGATGTGAGAACAGGGCTTCAGAGTTCAGTCCTGGAGTTTATTAGGCTTTTGTTTAAGTCTTTTGTGAATGCCAAAGATAGAAGCTGGTTAAGAGAGTGATGAGGCAAATTAATGGAAGGACTTAGTTGTTTATTAAGCATGGTTTGAAGGTGGGGTAGATAATTTGCTTTATATCAGAGTAGATATAATGCACATTACAACAAAATGTGTTTATATACACAATGTGTAACAATTGTAGAGATGAAAGAGACGACAGTTTAGGCTTAAAAAAAGACACCAGTAAATTAATTCTCCAGACTTGTGGGTTCATAAAATATTCCTGATTTATAAACAATTTCCTGTCCTATCAGCATAAAAAGGGAATGGCTGCATGAGGCTGAGGTTTCACGCCAGGCGTGTGCAAGTCCGATGGTGCTCGGGAGAAGCACAAGGTTGTGGTGGGATCCCTTACCTGCACTATAAATGCTCCCTCCCTTGAAACGTGCTTGTTTTGCATGTTCAAAGTACTGAATATACAGTTTATTAATTTTATGACCTTCAAAAAGAAAGCTTTTGAAGGACTGAGGAGAAATAGTAAATTAAATAACTGTTAAGAACCAAATCTTGCATGTGTCTTACGAATAGTCCCTTATACGTCAGCAGCATTTTTGGTGTGAAAGAAGCAAGAAAGAGTAGAGCTTCAAGGTTGTAAAAATCCTATTAGTCTGGCTGTGATGTGAGAAACCTGGGAAAAATGTGAGCTATTTTCCTGTGGCATTATCCCCCTGGTGAAACTGCAGTGCTGGATCCTCTGGCTGGACAAAAGCCCTCAAGGAGACGTAGGGCACGGGTCCTGCATGTCAAGGTGGATGTCCTCTTCTTTTCTCAGCAAAAAAACTGCTTCCCAAGATTTGGAAGGTTAGAGGTTTGAAAGTCTTTTGGTGCAGCTTTACAGTGATGTGTGTGCATGGAGGCACGGCTGACATCCTGGGAAGGGCAAAAGTCATTTTTAAAATGTCTCTTGCAGGCCAGGTATTAGTTCTAATTCTTGTTCTTATTGCTTGGTTTTACATAGCTCTTTTTTTATGCAGTCAAGAGAGATTCTCTCACCTCTTTATTTAAACCTGGAATGAAATAAGGCATAGAGGTTAAACGAATTGCCCAGAAAGACACAGTAGGACACGTCTAATTATGTCTCAATTTAGGAGTGAGTTCTGGCTCCAGCCCAACAAGCCAACTTGAAAAGAGAAAAAAAAAAACAAAAAACCAACTCTGGTGAGGAAAAATAAATACCTAACACAAATGTTTCTGTGAACCTGTAAATAGAGGAGGTGATGCTTTTTTCAGAACGGGAATTTGCTTTTTAAAATGGGTTTGCTGTCTTCCAGAATACGTCTGTAACCCACGATTTAACAGCACACACAATGTGCATTTTGTAATTGCTTTGTGCCTTGTAATCCAGTTCCCTGCTCTGCTCTTTTTTGGGTCTCCTGGTGCTGGTATATATATTTTTTTTTCCATATCTCTTATACCTCAAAGTTAGTGGGAATCAAATGCAACAACCCTGATGTGGAGATTACAACCGAAAAAGCAAAAAGAAAACGGGCTGTTCTTGCTCCTACAAAAGTGTTTCCCATCTACGTAACCAGTTCCAGCAGTGGTTGAGGCAGATTGTTTTTACAATACTTAGATCATAAAATAAGCAGTTCCATAATCTCTAAAGTCTTTTAACTGCTGCTTTATGAGAAATTAAAAGTGCCGTAAAAATTATATTTAAAATTTCATTCAACTCCCAATTTTTGGTCAGCCCACTCCTGGGGGCAGGCAGTAAGAAACACAGATGTCTCTGCTGGTTTGAGGAATCCTCCAGCCCAACGTGCAAGCGTGCCAAAATGTGCCGATACGGGTCCCGGTGCAGCCATTCACCACCTCCTTCTTGGCCGCGTTATCTGGCTCTGAGGACTTTCTCACGCGGAAATCCCATTATTGGTGTGAGACACCAGGGTTTGCCCAGCACGCCAGAGGACTCCTCTCCCTCCAGCGCGGGCTGTTTGCACCATGCAAACCACTGCCTGATGTTCCTCCAACCTGCAACCCAGCAGGGATTAGCACGCGCGGCACTAGAGGTGAGCGCTGCGTTTTTGAGGACAAACTCCCTGATTTTAGGTTATTGCACTGTGTGCTTGCTGGTATCAATCCTGCTGCAACGCACCAGCAAAAACTCGTATTTTTGGGGAGGAAAGGGGACGTTGCAATGAGGCGAGGGAAAGGTTTGAGCAGACTTTTTTTTTTTTTTTAAATTTTATTAGTGGCTCACAGCATCAGTCAAGTGCCTCTCCATGCCACTCAGATGTATGGTTAAAAAGTAAAGATACAGGTTTAAAAGAAATTAAAGCTACAGATCCTCCTGAGACACAGGGCTCATGCTTAGGGTTGTGTTTCTGCAGCTGGTGGTGGTTCTGTGCTGGCTAAGTTGGTGGCAGCCATTTGTGTGTGAGCTCCTTCCCCATGGTGAGAGTAAGGGAGGAGGACCTGTAGTAGCTCATGATGAAGGGCAAAGCTACATTGTGTGTGCCCTGGGTTGTGATGGTGTGAAAGGACTGTGGCTGTCGTTAGATGGCTGGTAGGAACTCCTCATGCTGCAATATGGGGGTTGTAGAAGTTGCAGGCTGGGATGACGGTGGTTAATGATAGTACATGGATGGCAGAAGAAGCTGATGGAGGAGCAAGGAAGAGGCACACCAGGTAGTGGGTTAGTTTGCCACTTGC